CCAACACCTCAATCAACACCTCAAGCAATTCGCAAGCAATGCGTGAGAGTAAGCCACCCGTACCTTACAAGTTCAATGATGAACGGAGCGTAAACCGTGTCTCGCGAGGGAAGAGTGAATGGGGCTGTCGGAGTTGCGGTCGGAGGAAAACGAGTTCGCTGGACGTGAAGGCTCGCCTGAGGTGGTTGGTCAGAGGTGAGGGATGACCGGAAGTTCCGCCGGTGAGACGTGGTGGTCGAAAAGAGAGGCTAGGTTAGCGATTTCGCGAGACGGGAGAGAAACCCGCGCGAGGGCGAAATTGAGGCGCTAGGGCACAGAGGTGAACGGAACACCGGAGGTCGGAGATGGTGGTATGGACGGAGCTGTGAACTGACACCGGAGGTGGTGAGTCGGAAGTCGCAATTGACGGGGAGTCGACCTAGGGTTCCTGAAATCCAGTCGCGAGGAGAAAGAGCGGAAAGTGCGTGAGATGGTGTCGCCGGAAATTGGTGGTCGCCAGTTGAAAAGGGAATGTCGGCGGTCGGAGGTTGAACAGAAATGGTGATCGGTTTGGGGCGAGAATTCTTCAAAATCGCAAGAGAAATCGCGAGAGAGAGATGGAAAAATTCCTGCACAAAATAAGAGTCGGGGTTAAATTTTAATAGCAGGTAAGTCGCGAGTCGCGAACTCGCGAGAAAAACAGCAACCGGCAGCATAATGGTGTGGGGATACTCGCAACTCGCGACATCCTCGCGAGTCGCGACTTCAAAGTCGCGAGTCGCGGAAAATACTGAGACCGAAGCTTGAATTGCGAGGGTAACTCGCGACTCGCGACAGAACTCGCGAGCCGCGACACACATTTTTTTTTTTAATCTGGAATAAAAATCGATATATATATACACATAGTACAATAAACGCTCGGTTTTAAGCCGGGAGCTCGGCATTGATGCCTTATATCAAGGATACGCTGGGTCGCCGAGACTGATGGTCTCGACATTGTACTTCCCGAATACCCCATCGAAATATGGCTTTACTCGCTGACCGTTAACCACAATTAACTCGCCATTAGCTGGATTGCGAAGTCTGACGGCTCCAAAACTCAGCACCTCATCAATAGTATATGGGCCACTCCACCGGGATTTGAGTTTTCCCGGGAATAGACGAAGTCGAGAGTTATAGAGAAGGACTTGCATGCCCGGTACCAGCTCCTTTCGAACAATGTGAGCATCATGGAGTCTCTTCACCTTGTCTTTATAAATTTTGGCATTCTCATATGCCTCGTTCCGCCTTTCTTCTAAATCCGAAAGTTGCAACAGTCTAGCTTTTCTGGCTGCATCTAGATCAAGGTTCGTCTTCTTAATGGCCCACAAGGCCTTGTGCTCAATCTCCACTGGTAAGTGACAAGACTTCCCATAGACGAGTCTGAAAGGGCTCATTCCCAAGATACCTTTGTATGTTGTTCGTTGGGCCCACAAAGCGTCGTCGAGCCGGCTCGACCAATCCTTCCTTGATGAATTGACAGTCTTCTCTAGGATAGTCTTAATCTGCTTATTGCTCGTCTCTGCTTGACCCGAAGTTTGTGGATGGTAGGGGGTAGCTACTTTGTGAGAAATGCAATACCTCTTCATCAGTTTCTCAAAAAGCTTGTTGCAGAAGTGCTTTTCCCTTTCACTCACTATAGCTCTTGGGAACCCAAACCTGCTCAATATATGACCTTGCACGAACTTGATCACGACATTAGCATCACATGTCTTTGTGGGGATAGCCTCAACCCACTTAGACACGTAATCTACAGCAAGTAAAATATACTCAGAGCCACTAGACTTAGGAAATGGTCCCATAAAATCAATGCCCCAAACGTAAAAAATTTCTACTTGAAGGTTATTAGTCAAGGGCATCTCATTTCTACGACCTATATTCCCAGTTCTTTGGCATCTATCACAAGAACGACAGAAAGTATGAGCATCTTTAAAAAGGGTAGGCCAAAACAAACCTGACTGTAGAACCTTAAAGGCGGTCTTCTGGCCGCCAAAGTGGCCACCACAATGAAACTCGTGGTAGAATGTGAGGACATCGACTTGCTCCTCTTCTGGTACACATCTCCTTAGCACCTAGTCCTTCCCCATCTTGAAAAGGAACGGTTCATCCCAGAAGTAGTCCCTACACACAGAAACAAAACGCTTTCTCTCTTGGGAAGAGAGGTCAGGCAGCAATTTTCCACAACATAAGTAATTCACAATGTAAGCATACCAAGCACTTTTCGACACTTCATGCGCATGCTCATAAGGAAAATTATCATTAATGGAATGATGCACAATCAATGAAGATGATGAGTCAGATGGGACTATGCGTGACAAGTGATCAGCAACTACATTCTCAGAACCTTTCCTATCTCTAATGTCAACATCGAACTCTTGCAGTAACAAGATCCACCGGATGAGCCTTGGTTTAGAATAATTTTTGCTCAAAAGGTATTTCAAAGCCGCATGGTCTGAGTGAATAATTACCTTAGATCCCAAAATGTAAGATCTAAATTTTTCGAGCGAAAAGACCACAGCTAGAAGTTCCTTCTCGGTGGTAGTATAATTCTGTTGGGCCCCATTAAGAGTCAAACTAGCATAATAAATCACTCTAAGCAACTTATCAACTCGTTGACCCAAAACGGCGCCCACTGCAAGGTTAGATGCATCACACATGATTTCAAAAGGAAGAGACCAATCAGGGGTAATGACAATAGGGGCACTCACAAGCTTGCTCTTTAGTTCATTAAAAGCACTCAAGCAAGCATCATCAAAAATAAATGGCACATCCTGAGCAAGCAAGTGACATAATGGTTGACTAATTTTTGAAAAGTCTTTAATAAAACGCCTATAGAACCCCGCATGCCCCAAGAAACTCCTAATCCCCTTAACATTCACAGGAGGGGGAAGTTTTTCAATAACATCTACCTTAGCCTTGTCTACCTCCATCCCCCTACTAGACACAACATGGCCTAAAACAACACCACTCCTAACCATGAAATGGCTTTTCTCCCAACTCAATGTTAAATTAGATTCAATGCAACGTTCAAGGACACGAGATAAATTATGGAGACAATGAGAAAATGAATCACCAAAGATAGAGAAGTCATCCATAAATACTTGCAGGCAGTCCTCAAGCATATCCGAGAAGATGGAGAACATGCACCTCTGAAATGTACCCGGTGCATTGCATAGGCCAAAGGGCATCCGTCTGAACGCGAAGGTGCCAAAGGGGCACGTGAAAGTCATCTTTGGCTGATCCTCAGGTGCAATGGCTACTTGGTAGTAGCCGGAGAGTCCATCCAAAAAGCAGTAGAACTAATGGCCTGAAAGACGGTCAAGGATCTGGTCAATAAACGGCAACGGAAAATGATCCTTCTTCGTCACCGCATTCAGTCGCCGATAATCAATACACATGCGCTACCCAGTAGTGATGCGGGTGGAACCAACTACTTCTTGTCATTCTCGATCACGGTTATGCCTCCCTTCTTCGGCACCACATGAGTAGGGCTAACCCACTCACTACTCGCCACTGGATAGATCAATCCCTCAGAGAAAAGTTTCAGCACCTCCTTCTTCACTACCTCCATCATATTCGGGTTTTACCGTCGCTGGCTATCCTGAAACGGCTTGGCTCCCTCCTCCAAGATAATCCGGTGCATGCATGTAGATGGACTGATCCCTTTGATGTCTCCCAGGCTCCACCCTATTGCTTTCTGGTTCTTCTGAAGCATAGCAATCAGCTCCCATTCCTCCTCATGGTCAAGCTCAGCAAAGATGATCACCGGTTTCTGTTGGGCATCATCCAAGAAGACATACTTAAGGTGCTTGGGCAGCTCCTTAAGCTCGAGTGTGGCCTCAGCTCGGGATTGACCATCTCCTACTTCAAAAAGCTCCACTGTAGGTTCTTCCTCTTCCTCGAAAACCGGCAACGATACTTCCTCGAACTCATGAATGACCATCTCATCAACAAAGGGGTCGGCTAGATCAACGAAAGCACATTCTTCTACAAAATTAACTGAGGAGGCGGACATGGCTCCTCGAACGGAAATGGACACTGTTTCCCCCAAAACAGTCATATTCAGGGTTCCATTCTTCACGTCAATAAGGGTGTTCGTAGTCGCCATGAAAGGTCTTCCGAGAAGGATGGTGTGATCCTCCCCATTCTCGTGAACATCTCCCACGTCTAAAACAACGAAATCAACTGGAATAATAAGCTTGCCCACCTTCACGAGAACATCCTCAACTATTCCCTTCGGATACCGTATGGAATGGTCCGCCAACTGGAGGCACATGCGGGTCGGCCTCAACTCTCCAAGGCCGAGCTCTGAAAAATCGAGAAGGGCATGAGATTTATTCCGGCTCAGAGGTCAAGCATCCCCGAAGCAACCTTCCCGTTTTCCAAGGCTATTTGGATAATGAAACCACCGGGGTCACGTTCCTTCTTGGGCAAGTCGTGCTGCATGGCATTTGCCGCCTCGTACACCACCACCTTCTCTCCGTCCTCAAACTTCCTCTTCTTGGTCACCAAGTCCTTGAAGAACTTACCATATGATGGCATATTTTTAATCACATCAAGGAGAGGCAAGTTAACATTTACTTTAGAGAGCATGCTGAAAAGATCCCGGAACTGCTTCTCTTGCTTCTCGTTTCTGAGTCGGTCCGAAAAGGGAATGTGCGGCTTGAATGGATTTGGTGACTTGTGTAGTGCGGGCTCGTCTGTCACCTTCCTGGACTCTTCTTCCTTGATCTTCTCTACATCTATCCCTTCACTTTCAGGTTCCTTGGTCACCTCTTGGTCCTCGGGCCCGGGCATTTGCACCTTGTTGTCCACTACCTTCCCGCTTCTGAGAACCGTGATAGCTTTAGCTTGCTCGGGTTGGCTGGGCAACTTCCCTTTATCAGATTCAGTCTCCATGTGCCCGACCCTAGTGGCCAGTTGACCCACTTGTGTCTCAAGACGCTTGATGGATGCATCTTGATTCGTGATGAACTGGAGGATCATGTCGAGCTTGTCGTCTTGGAGGGATGAACTTGGCCCGGCTTCTGGTCCTCTCTACTGCTGCTTCTGTGGCTGGTAGTTCGGACGTGGCACAAAGTTGGGTCGAGGTTGTGGCTGCATGAAATTTGGATGGGGTGGCTGAAGGGTGTTCGAGTTATTCGACCATGAGAAAGATGGGTGATTCCGCCATCCCGGATTGTACGTGTTCGAATATGGGTCATTGCCAGGCCTGGCTTGGTATCCCTGTAAGGCGCTGGCATCTGCATACTGCTCACCGGACTCCTGGTTGAAAGCTGAAGGGCACACTTCAGACCTATGGCCTGGGACTCCACAAGCCCCCACGTGTCAACGGCCATGGCCTGAACCGGTTGAGCTCCTCGTGCATTAAGTAGACGCATTTGCTCTGTGAGCTCGGCTAACTGCTGGGACATCATATTGCTGCCCGGCCCGACCTCGTTCACTGTCACTCTCTTCCCTCGGCTGCTCTTCTGCGATGAATTCGTGCTCATCGTCTCGAAAATTGCAAACATCTCCTCAGCTGTCTTTGCTCCAATATCTCCTCCTGCCACATTGTCAACCATATACTGCAAGTTATGATAGAGGGAGTCGTAGAAACAGTTGATCAGTAGCCCCAGAGAGAGGTTGTGATGAGGGCACTGCCGCTGGAGATCCTTGAACCGCTCCCAAGCCTCGTGAAGAGGCTCATTCGGTAGTTGAGCAAATGAGACGATTTGCGACCGGAGCTCCTGGGTCTTCTGATGGGAGTAGTACCTCCCAATGAACTTCGTGTATACTTCAGTCCAGGTAGTGAGAGAGTCCGGTGCGAGGGTCATGAACCAAGACTTGGCCCGGTCCTTAAGTGTCTCGGGAAAACACCTCATCTTCAGTTGCTCTTCTGTAAGCCCGTGGAGAGGGAAGGTCTATAGCACATTGTAGAATTCCCGAATGAAGTTAAGCGGGTCTTCATTCGGGAACCCGTGGAAGAATGGCAGCTGGTTGTAATGGATCATCTTAAGCTCGTAGTTCCGAGCTTCTTGTGGCAACCGGATGCATGAGGTTATCGGCCCAATCGTCGGATGGACTAAGTCTAGAAGGACATCGCGGGGTTGAAGAGCCATGTCTGGATTAGTGGTTTCAGATGAATCGAGGCTGAGTTTGTCGAAAAGCTCCCTTACGCTCTCGTGACTCGGTTTGTCGATGGGTTCAAGAGTACGACCACTCCTGGTATGCATACACAAAGACAAAGAAACCGTCACGAGCACCAGATAAACAAAAAGAGAAAACTAAAGGAGAATAACCAAACAACAATTAAGAACTACTAACTAACAAAGAAACAAAGAGAAACACAAAAAAAAAAACAAAAAAAAAAAAACAAACAAATAGGCGCACAATTAAAATCCTAAACCTTCCCCGGCAACGGCGCCAATTTTGTTGTCAGTATTTTTACCGGAGTAGAATCGAAAGATTCGTCCACGGGTCGTATCGCAAGGAAGGTTAGCCGGATACTCTTGTGCGTATATTCAATCACGAAAAAGAGACAAAGAATTCCTAAACACTCTAATTCAATATTTTTTGGTTTTGATTATCAACTACTGATTTAAACTGAATAAAATAAAAGCAAATAGCAAATGACTTTACTGAATGATTAAAGTGCTAGAGAATCGGGGATAATTGCTTTCGGTTCTAACACAATCACCGGCAATCGATTGCTCGGTTAAAGGTCTTGAATCGTTTCTTGCTCAGAGGTTCACTCTCAATAACTCTTCGTAACAAGAGAGTGAACGTTAACGATCAACTATCAATTCCAACAACACATAGATTATACGCTTCCGAACAAATCTATTCTAAACGAGCCTAATTCTACCAACGTCTCCCCTCTCGGTTCTACACGTTGATTATCTAGGTTAGAAAGGTGATCAGTCCACTAACCCTATGATTCACACAACTCGAATAGATATGAACAATCAAAGGCATTCAATTATAACGAACTTAATCAATCATCCCCTATCCCTAGCGAATGGATTTAGCTACTCATATGGAACTCAACATCAACATTCAAATTAACTCAAGCCATCATCATCAATGCAAGCAATTGAGAAAAAGAACTTACGATTAATATAAAGAAACCAACGTCAAATCCACGTGAACAATCAAAATCCAAAGCGAAGAAAACAGAAGTTTTTCAATCTCCAAAACACATCAAAAGCGCAAAAGAAAGAAAAGGAATAGGTTTTTCTCCAGAGAGAACGTCAAAATAAAGTCTGAAAAGTGAATAATGGACCCTAGGATCGAAATCTGATGTTAAAATCCCGTCCTCGAAATTCGCACCGGTTAAGTCGCGAGTCGCGAGATGGTCTTCTTCTCAGTCGCGAGTCGCGACTTTCTCGCGAGTCGCGCGTCGTCTTTTTCTTTAAACTCTGGGGCTGGTCGCGACATGACTCGCGAGTCGCGACTCCATCTCGTGAGTCGCGACCTTGACTCGCGAGTCGCCACTCGTTCTTCGGAAATCCTCTTTAGCCTCAGTTTTCCCCGCGAGTCGCGACACATTCGCGAGTCGCGACTTGCGACACATTCGCGAGTCGCGACTCAACTCGCGAGTCGCGAGAAATTCTGCGCGTGGTTTCTGTCCGTTTTTCGGTCCTCTTCGTCGTCCTCTTGGCTCGGCCAACGGGAATTCTCGATATCATGGTCTCCGCTCAAGCAGCTCCATCCTCGACCGGCACAACCTACCTCCTGAAAACACAAATATAGAAAAACACGAAGCAAAACACGGCAAAAAGATACAAAAATATAAATTAAAGATAAAAACATGAAACGAACGAAATGGACCAAATAAACTACGAAAAACCTACAAATGTGGGAAAACAAAAAGAAAATAAACACGAAATAAAGACACAAAAATGGGACAAACATTTCCCTAAACATGTCATACAACAAATTTTTTGCTTGCTCGACGAGTAGCAGTACGTTAGGTTTTTGACTGTATGTCGGGACATCAGTCGGGATTGGGAGTTCATACATATAATTATAGTACATGTTAAGCTGCTCTACCAATCGAGCTTTCCGTACCGAAGGATCTAACAAACATGCAACTAAATGTGTATCAGGAATGAAATAATAATATTTTAACCATTTCTTTAACATTTCCTCAACTAAATAGCCATATTTATTAAAATTCAAGTCGTAAAGATCCTTGAAAGCCCACATTATGGCTATAGCTTGACTTAACACAAGCTGAGCACTAGGATAATAAACACGTGAAAGCATGTTAGTAGTATTTTGAAATGTTTCTAAAAATTGAATAAGTGCATTACAGTTCTCCCAATCTCTTGTTGACACTCGGACATCACAATCCTTACGGTTTGAATGGTTAAAAAAATTCAGCAATTGTGTCATAAACGGAACCGTGTCACTCAACATTTTAAATGTTGAGTTCCACCGGTTAGGAACGTCAGGTTGAAATTTTTTAGGTTTCACCCCTTGATCTTTACAAAATTGTCCCTATGCTTTCATTTCATGGGGACGTTTATGTAAATAATTAACAGCGTCCCTAATTGGTGTGACCGAATCTTTAAAAGCATGATAACCAGCTTGTACACAGAGATTTAAGACATGACATATACAACGAATATGAAAAAATCTTCCGCCGCAAATTGGAGTGCAAATATCGGTAAGTTCACATATAGATGCAGTATTTGCAGTAGCATTATCAAACGAAATGGAAAACACTTTTTTACCTATTTGATATTTGTCCAAAATTTTTAAAATTAAACGAGCAATATAAGAAGCAGTGCGTCGTTCATGAAATGCAACATAAGCAATTAAACGTTTTTGTAAACTCCAATTTTCATCTATCCAATGACAAGTAATTCCCAAATAGAAGCTATTTTGCCAATGATCAGACCAGATATCAGCACAAATGGATACTATATGATTTAAAGATTTAAAAGTTTCTTGCAAAATTACTTTTTTTCCGCCACTATTTTTCGAATATCGCGAGTAAGAGTAGTACGTGGAACCCAGTGGGCAGCCGGATTCAAAGCCATTTGAGAAAAAATGTTCATATAAATCACTATCACCAAAGCTAAATGGACGAGATGAAGCAGAAACAAATTCAGCTAAATGGCGTCGATGATTTTCATGTGAGTACTGAAATAAAGATGGCGTACCTGTACCACTCGTGGTAGATGCAGCGCTACTACTCGGGAGTTGCGTCTATGCCCTGTCAATTCCCAATTTTGTCGGATGATTCCTCTCTAAGTGTCGTTTCAACGATCCGTACGCGTCGTCTTTTTTGAAATGGTACTGCTTCTTCTCGTTCGCCGGGCAATAGTTGCAAACAGCATAAAAGTGATTCTCACCTCTTTTCGGATTGGCCACCTTCGTGTAATGTTGTTTGGATATGGCAGATGCCGGTCTGCCACGGGCAAAGACAGAAGCTGGGTCCGGGACCTCCGGGTCCGGTTGCTGCTGCTGAGTCGGTTGTTGAACCTCCGGCGGGGATTCTCTAAATATATCATCGAAATGGTCGTGATACGGCTGCTGCTGCTCTTGTCACTGAGGATGAATTGAGCCAAACATGCACTCGATCGTCGCCTCATCAATGTCATCGGCGACACCGGGAATATCCACATGTATCGATGGACTCGCAAATCCCGGCAATGGAGGTCTCGACGAAGACGTGCCGATGCCGATATTTCTACGTTTCTGTCCGGAATTCGAACCATGACCACCACAAGAGCTCGACATTTTTTAATTTAAAAAATAAAAAATAAATTGGAGAAAATTAATATAGAATATGATGATATAAAAAAATGGGAGATGCGGTATTTTTTTTTATTTTTGATTTTTTTTTTTGTTTTTTTTTTGAAACCGAACACAAAA